ATTCATTTCTATACACAGATCTCCTTGAAAATGGACACAGAACATGCCCTGAGACTTCTTACTAGAGGAGCAGCCTGAAGGAATGGTGCTGCAGAAGCAGAAAGAGAGCAGGGCAATTGGCACTAGTGCCAGAGTGACCCATGTGGAATTCATTAGCACCAGGTAACATACGCATAGCTTAGTAAGTACTCCCAGCGAGGACATAACCTGGAGCAGAACTTAGTTTTGATTTCAGCCTGCACAAACAAGAGGTCATTGGCAAAATTAATGCCATCATAACCAGACCCAGTGGGGTTCTGTTCTCTTCAGGGTTGGACCATTCCAATACTCTGGATTTGGTGTTACATCTTAGATTCCAAATCTCAAGGCAAATATGAGTCTTTTTTCTAGTCAAAGAATGCTAAGTTTTTATAAAGCACAAAAAATTCAGTGCAGATTATGTATCTAGTTAATTTAGAAAATAAAAGTAGATAAAATCATAAATGCTTTGGAAAACTGAACATGCACATTTCATTTGTGAAGAATATTCTAGTACTTAATACTATCACTTAATATTAATATTTATTGTATTCTATCCACTTGAATGGGTGTTTAGTTCATTAGTTATTAATTACTATGACTTGTGTTAGATCTTGATGTTTTAAATCTTTTCCAGATAACTAAATGGTATACTTTTTTGTGGTCATACTGGGGCTTGAACTTAGCTCATGGGCATTCTTGCTTAGCTTTTTCACTTCAGGCTGGCACTCTACTACCTGAACCACAGAGCCCTACTCCTGGTTTCTTTTTTTCCCTCTTTTCTTTTTTCTTTCTTTCTTTTTTTTTTTTTTTTTTTTTTTTGGGTCATGGGGCTTGAACTCTGGGCTAGATGCTGTCCCTTAGCTCTTCAGCTCAAGGAGAGCACTCTACCACTTGAGCCACAGTGCCACTCTGGTTTTCTGGTGGTTTAATGGAAATAAGAGTCTCATGGACTTTTCCTGCCTGGGCTGGCTTTGAATTGCAATCTTCAGATTTCAGGCTCCTGAGTAGCTAGGATTACAGGCGTGAGCCACCAACATTATTCTTTATCCTTTTCCCTCTAACATATATTCTTGATTTTATCAGCATCTGTCACACTCACTAAAATGTTTTAATTAAACATAGCTGATTACAGTCTGGTTTATATATATAATTTCCTTCAAATACATAAAACTAAGAGAATTAGTCCGCTCTTTGTTTCCCCTGCCCATGTTGGTAGTCAGATATAAAGCACAAGTAATTAGGGTTTAACACTTGACTTCTTAATATGGTTTTCTAAAAACTTTCCTGTTGGAAAAGTGGGTGTGTTCACAAATCAGGCAGCAGGTGATCTTTATCTGTGTTATTACTCTCTAACCTGAACATTAACTTCAACTCATCACTAGCTGCTGGTTTATGAAACAGAATTAGCAGTTTTAGGAACAAAATTTCACAATTAAGTGAATAGGAAGGCTGAAAATAGGCTTGTGTATTCCCATTTGCACATTTTTCTTAAATTTTCCATTTATAATAAGCTTTTCAAGAAGTAGGAATCAACTCTCATATAGAAATAGCAATTGTTGTTCTTGATTCAACCACTGTCTTCTATTCAAGCAATAATAAGAAATGGGGTATTTATGTCTGATAATTTGGCACACTTGAGAATACTAGGTTGATATGATTTCATTTTTACAAATAGGATAAAGAAACTATAAATGGGTATTGAGCTGAAACATTTTAATATTTCAATTTGGATTTCTTATAATAAAGTTCCATCATTATCATTCCGATTTGCTTTCCTGGATAAGTGCAAAGATACATAATTTTTGTACTATAGAGAATTTGATCCTGGAATACATGTATGAGGGTTACAGGGTTGATTTGTCTTAGATTTGACTAGTCCCTTTTTGAGAATGTTCTTTTCTGTTCCTTGGGCATTATTAAGTCATTAGTAGAGGTGATGGGATCCAATGGTAACCTGAACCACAGAAGCAATGTACAATCCACATACTTTCCTCAATAGTCACACTAACTACTGTGAAACACTGAGCCTCATAAACATTCTGCCAGTGAGCTGTATATAGCTGCCAGGTAATGTTAATTGGAAAGTCGCTCTCCAGAACATCAGTCTCTTCCCTCTGTATGAGTTAACTCTGCCTGCTCAACCCAGTTACCAGCCCTGCCCATGCTTCTACTATTTTGCATTTCTGATCCCTACCAAAAAAAAAATTCAGCTCTGAAAAACACTCCTTCATATATTCTACTTAAAGATAAATCATCTTTCTTAAGAATGAGAGTGGTAGCCAGGCATGGTGGGTACACCTGTAACACTAGGCACTTGAGTAGAAGTGATCGGGAAGACTTCGGTTTAAGGCCAGGCCAGCCAACACCAATAAAAGCTGAGCATGGGGTTACAGTTGTCATCCTAGTGGTCATAGCTAACTATGAAGTTAAGTGTAATTACACTGGAGGCTTCCTGAACAAAAATGAGATCATATTTGAA